GCGGCGGAAAGTAAGGAGATCCGGAATCATTTCTTCCTCTTCATATAGAAGACAAAGGATAGTCCATTTTTGCCAGAGTTATGAACAGTTGTTGCAGTAGTGTTGGTTGTTTGGCAATTAATGTTTGATATTTGGCTAAAGGTTTGTAAAGATGTTTATTCCATAGTGTAATCTGATACCTTTTGTAAACGTATTGCATTAAATATGAAGTTGAGGGGAAATTTGTGGTATAAATGAAATAGATAAATGAGCATATCATGGCTGAATTCAATCATTATAAATTTTGTATTAACAAGAAGCCTGCATTAAAACTTGTATACATGTACATGAGCATCTAATAAATTTATTTGGTGATGTACTTTTCCTAGTATGCCTAGTTCAGTGGTGGCAAACCTATGGCACGGGTGCCAGAGGCGGCACTCAGAGCCGTTTCTATGGGCACGCGTGCCGTCGCCCCAGTCCTTGGCCTTCAGCTGGGTTTTATAAAACCTTTTCGCTTTAGGCCTCCGCCGCCATGTACAAAAAAAAAAGGTTCAATCAGTCAATTTCAACTTCTCACAGGGAAAAAAACTTGCAAAGTTGGAATTGATTGATTGAACTTTTTAGTCCCACCCCGTCTGCTGTCACCACTGCAGCCAAGCCCACCCAATGGGCCACACCCACCCAATGGGCAACACCCACCCGGCACCCGACAATGCATAAGTGGGTTTTGGGTTGCAGTTTGGGCACTCAGTCTCTAAAAGGTTTGCCATCACTGGCCTAGTTCAAATAACTGCATTAATACACGAGGGAAAAAAGGGAAACTCCCCCTCCATACCCACAACAACCAATCACAGCGCAGATTCCTTCATGCAGGAGCCAGCATTCTTCAACCAATCAGCTATAACTGGGTGTTAATAGCTCCAGCTATTAAATTTTAATATCTTAACAGAAGTGAACAAAGATACGCTTATGAACAGGAGATCAGTCTCTGCAACATCCAACTTCCAGTCCAGCAAGCCACGTGGCCTCCTGAGGAAAACATTCTTCATCCACGTGGTAAG